GGAGAGTAATATTACTGTTATGCAGGAATGAAGAAATGGTGTTTAGTGGATATAGGAACAAAAGGACAGAATTCAGGGACATAGTGTCTCCTTAAAGCCAGCTTCATCATCTCCCTCGGTGACTGTGCCCTCTTGTTCTGCTCTAGACTCTGGATAGTGAAGATAAGCAGGGGAAGGGGACAGTGACACTGATAATCCATTGAGTCTTTACCTCGCCAACACCAACAAAATTGAGTTCTGACATCAACAAATCAGGAGACCCTCCTGTGAAAAGTTTCCAACAGCTTTCTGTGGGAATTGTCAAAGCAGCTTGATTTTCCACAAATGTACTTCCTCTGTCCCATGGGCTAATGGCAAAATTGATTCCTCACCCAGAGGAAACAACATGCTACCACTGAGGGATCTCAGGGATACTGCCAGCATCAGAGAAGATTGAAGGCTGGAGGTATAAGGAAGGTTTCTACATCTAACACCCTATCCAAATAATTTGTTGTAATTTATTTTCCATGGATCCATAAAATCTAGGTACTTAATAAATATGCATGCCAGTGTCCTAATTTCCCAGGCTTTCATGTAAGAACATCCTTTATTTAACTTCAGCCAGTTTTTCTGGCCTCATTTTCCATGTCTTCTCTGTTCTTACACCTAAGCTACATTTCGCCTGGGTGGCTTAGTTGGCTAAGCCTCTGCCTTTGGCTTGGGTCATGATCTCAGGGTCCTGGGATTGAGCCCAATGTTGGGCTCCCCACTCAGTGGAGAATCTGCTGGTCCCTCTGCCCCCACCCTTGCTTATTTATCTCTCTCTCTGAGATAAATAAAATCTTTAAAATTGTTTTATATAAAACCTCTCCCTCCTCACAAGTTCCTTCCCCTTGTACCCCAAGACATGCTATCATCTCAAACTTCTTAAATACAGTAAATCATCTGTTGAGAACCTACCATGATCCAGGCAGTCTTCTAGGCACATTCCGTATATTACTATCTCATTTAATCCTCACAAAAAAGGTTGATATCATTACCCCATTTTACAAATGAGGAAACTAAGGTTTATAATTTCAAGTAACTACCCAGAGGAGCATAGCCAGTATGTTACCTGTGTCATTCCTGCTTTCCTAAAGCTTCTCTCTGGTGCATGGGCTCCCTTCCTTATCACCCATCCATTTCTCTACCTCATTTTTGTCCCTATCACCACACTCACACTGTTTCCCTTCAGGTCAACAAATGACCTTCTAATTCTGAAATTTAATGGGCTCTGAAGGTCCTACTTTATTTGATCTTGTTTTATGTTTTATTTTTCCTTATATTTATAAGATTTTATAGTATTTTTATTTACTTGACCTTGTTTATAGACTATTCTTTTTGTTGAATGCCCCTCCAGCTTTTTTCATTGCATGAAACCCCTCCCTCCAACTTCCTTGGACCCCTCTCGGTCTCTGTCATGGGTTCTATTCTTTCACAGGCCCTTTATATTTTGCTATTTCCTGGCCTATACCTCCCGTCTTCTTGTTCTACATTCTTTCCATGAATAAATATCTCCACTCTCATCAGCTTATATAGAAATATCTCCAGTATCCCAGCCCTACCCTGTGTTCTAGACTCATACTTCCAGCTCCTTCCTAGAGAACATCATGCTGTGTGTGTCATCAAGGCATCTCAAACTTTAGATCAGATGTCTTATCTCTTCCTACCAATACCTGAAACCTATCACTTTTCCCTCAATTAATGACATCAACATTCTTCCAATTTCCCTAGTGAGAAATTTCATCCATCCTTGACTTTTCCCCTATAAGTCAATGAATAAATCCAGCTAAATCTACCTTGTAAGTTCTTCTTTTTATTCCCATTCTCATTGCCTGAGCTATAGGCTTTACCATAGGTCTTCCAGCCAAATCACTCTGTGTTCATATGTGTATATTCACCTCTCTTTTAACTCTAATGTTATCCCTAAGTAAGACAGTATTAGACCTTTACATCAACATTCAAGATGCCAATACTCAAAAACATTACTCTTTCTTTCTGAATTTTTATTGAGAGGATTTTGATTCAACTGCTTATTTTATATATAACATTTTCACTTTTAACCTATGCTTCAAATGTTTTAATTGTTTAGTGTTTTGTTTTTTTTTTTACATAATGCACTTTTATTTAAACATGCTACTTCAATGAAAGTATTTGGAGCATAACCATATTCAACCCAATATTCATATTGACTACATTCATGATAATATAGTAACTACTACAGAGAACAAAATGTTTAATAGAAATGGATTTACCATAGACTTCATCTCTAAAGACTTTACAATCTGCTAGGGGAGATAAGGCATGTATGTAAATAGTTATACTACATGCTGAAATAGGAGAATTGTTACAAAAGATGGACAGAAAAAAAGCTATCAGAAGCACATTGAGGAATAGTTTATTTTGACTCAGAGAACAAAACCTAACTTCATAAAGGAGTCAGTGTCTGTGCAAAGACTTCAAAGATATGAACTCTTAAATATTTATTCCTTTTACACACCTTATTGAACCTCACCTATATGCAAGACACTCTACTAAGTGCTGGAGACACAGAAATAAATGGGACATATCTTGACTTAAATTGTTCTCTAGTGAGGGAAAAAGGTAATCCGTTATTACAACAGGGTAAAAAGGAGTTATGGAAATTTTCTAAAAAAGCTAAAAAACGATGTGGAAAATGGTATAGATGGAGAAGACCTAACTCCTCTTCAAAGGGAATGTCTCTAGAAAGAGGCACTACTTGAACTAGTTCAGAGTATTGAGCGGCCTATGGAGATGAGTCTGGGAAAGAAGATTTATACACAGAGGAATCAAAGGCTCAGGGATGGAAAAGTATAAAGTATGCACCTTTGTTGTAGTTGAGAAGAACTGAAGAAGAGAGGTAGAAGATGTGGATAGAAAATGACATCTAGGCTAGTTTATGGAAAAGTTAAAAGCCAGAACAGGAACTGAAGGCATCTTTTAGAATAGCTTAATAAATTATTGCTGACTAATTGTGTTAATTTATGGACAGTTCTGTACATGGATTTATTTTTACCAGGCAGACCCAAAATTCACCTAATGACTATATTTCTGAGAGAAAAGTAGATGTTGTTGGCATCAAGTAATCCAATCAGGGATATTCTTTAGACTTGTTGTTTCTATTACTCACTACATTAAAATTCTCAGAGTACCTTCTTTGGTTCTCTGGTCATTACTCTGGGGTTGACATTTGTGGTTAACAATTAACTTATTCTTATTTCCTCTTATTTTTATTTGATGATAGCCTACTATTCATTACTCAAATGGATTGTTATGGGAAATGCAAACAGGAACAATGGCTACTCCCAAACATTTCAAGATCCAGTATTCCCCCGTTAGTGGTAACCATCATTTTTGGCCACTGCTAATGAATTAGATTGATCTTTGCCTTTTCATTTGCAGCCTTGATAACATCAGCTATAACCTGCTGCCATATAACTGTCTTTGGACAAAAGATTCCAAAGTGTGTGTTCAGGCTCTAGTTTACTTCTGTGTATTTGGTCACATAAAAACAAATTAAATGACCAACTTAGGGGAAGAAATCTAACAATTGGGGGGAAAAGTAAAGCAAAAATCCAAAAGTTGCTTCATTAAGAATGTTTGCTTTGTTTACTTACATTTGTTATTATCACACCTATAAGTTCTTCAAAGGGGCTCCATCAAATTACCCTCCCCTAACTTTGGAAACCTCCATATCTCCAACTTGGTTATTCCATCATCTTTCCTGAGGCAAGAAAGAAACGTTCAAGCCTATCACTGCTTACTGAGAATATGTTTAATTACATGATTAGAACATTTCCAACAACTGTCTGAGAATAAATTTTGAGAAGAAATAAATGTTTTAGTTCAGTAGACTGAGGTAGGAGTAACCCAGGGAGAGTCTTCTATCATCAAAAAGTAGCCTAAGGACCCTAGGCTTATAGGTGATAGAAATTAAGCATCAGGAAGTCAGTGAAGGCCGCAGAAATGAAAATAGAGTGGCACCCAAAAAAGACACGTCCTCTACAATTATGCATAGGTCCTAGCAGCACCAAAAGGCCAACTCACCAATAAAAATGTTCTCCCAACTACTTTGGGTTGCTTACAAGTACCTGGTCTAGCAGATCCTAAACAGGACATCTTGGTACTGACACATGCTTTCTCAAGGAGAACTTTGCATCCACTGTCTACTCCCAAAGCCAGCCTCTGCATTCCTGACATTCTACCTATGCCTTGTCAAATCATTGTATAATTTCATCACAACAAATAGCCAACCAATGGGAAATTCTTCCTATTTTTCCCTTCAAAATCCCTCCCTCTCCACTCCCTTTCTTTCCTGCCATCACAGAAATGGGTCTTAAATAGGATCTCCAACCTAAAGGAACTATTCAATTTTGCTGCTAAGTTTTGGGGTAGGATATTCTACCCATTTCACTGAGGCAAGACCTGCACTAGTGGCTTCCGACCACAACACACATTTTCCGAAGGACACACAGGCGAGAATGTTTTTTTTTTCTAAACACTCTTATTTCCTAGCATATCCTTTGACTACTTTTTCAGTAGTTTAAAAGTAATATGACTGCGTCTAACATCCAACCAATGTCTTCCCACAGGATCTTTCTTGTATGTGCAGTATGCTTCTTGATGCAGCCAGCCAACCAAGCACTCTCTCCTAAGAAACTCCCAGTATCAATCTTCCAAGAATTGTTCAAAAGAGATAACATTCTCCCAGATCCACCCCAGCTGAACATCTTACATCTTCTCTTCAGCCAATTCACAGTACAATTATATAATCTTTTTGTCTTATGAATTTATTATCTATATTTACTCTGTGATGATTTATGATCTTGGGATTTGGGTTTTTTAATACCTTTTTCTTTGAGAGCTTTGCATGCCTCAAACAGGAAGGCCTTTGCGGACAGCCTAGGATAAAGAGTATGTAAACATTTTTTTTTTTTCTTATGACAAGAAGAAAAACCTACCTGCCCGTGCTTTTGCTGAGAGGCAATCCCATGAGACATTTCAGGGTATGATGGGGCCTGGAGGTCTGTCCCTCGTGTTTTGGGACGTACCACGTCAGAAACCAGACTGGAGGAAATTGCTAGAGATTTGGGCCGAGAAGCTGTAGTGCTCATCCCCCTCGGGGGACCTTGTTCACCTTTTCCACTTGTAGCTTCATCTTCCCCTTCTGAGTCCACAATAAAGACATATTCAGCTTTGAAGAGGTCACTTTGCTGCATTCCTTGAAGTTCGTTTGCTTTAATTCCCCTTGCTTGCAAAACCTTTTCACTGCCCTCTGGAGGATAAATCAATGTCCCTTGGTTTCTCTCCTGTTGGCTCCCGGCATTCAAGGTCAAGTACTCATTGGACTCAGACTGCAATTAATGTAGAGACATAAAAGCATTGACATTGGTTTGACAATGGCTTCCTTTTTGCATGTACACTTAAAAGTTTAACCTGCTTATAATCTCCAAGGACAAGAATTATTTAAAATATATTTAAAAATCAGGTTGGTTTAGGAGAGATTGGGTTGAGTTAATGGTTTACTTTTACCAGCCCACTTATTTGTCCTGGTTCAAGCCCAAACAATTTAGGGCTCAGAATCAACATCAAGTAAACCTGCTTACAAATAAATCATGACACATTTTCTTAAAAAGAGCTAGAGACAGCAATGTTTCCCATGAAGACATTTGTGAGACAAACAGGGGTTGACCAAGGGTTTAATTATTGGTCAAGCAAAACCTATATATCCTATATATGCCAGGAGAGAAAGGAAACCCTATTGAAAGTTTCTAAAATAAAACAAATCTCTCTAAAAGTCTGAGAGGAAAACTAAAGTTGTGACCAAAAATATAGATATTCAGACAAAACCATCCAAACTAATTGAAAAGAACTCAAGAATAAGATGCCAAGAAAACAAGTAGATATTTTTAGTACAAGGAATTTTTCACTGCTATTTTATTTTGTAATTCTTAATCTTTTCCCATTCAATTTTCTATGAGTACATAGAGGATTTACAAGACCAGAGTAAGACAGCTATATCAAGCTATCAAACATCTTTTCCTAAAATGAGAGCAGCAGTGTACACTAAGATTGTGTTTAAAAGAGTCAGTGTTTATTTTTCTGGTTTTGATAACCATGCTGTGGTTACTATATTTTTCTTTGCAACATTTCTTTAGGCCTAAAATTACTTCAGAATAAAAAATTTAAAAAGACACTAACTAAAATAAACTGAATTTCAACCATGATGATAAATTTAACATGTGCTCTTATATGCATGCATGTTGTGTGTATGAAAATAGAAGCCAAACCATTGATTATATATAACTAACCTAAGGACGTTATTTTATATGTCCATTGCACATTTTTCAGCTGATGATGATTTAGTTGAGATAAAACACAAATGGCCTCTCATTAGGATTTCTTGAACAATGGTCATTTCACATTTAAATTACGATACCATACAGTAACAAAAACCCAAACTGGAAAGAGGTTTAAATTAAAAATAACAGGATTCAAAGACAGATTGCTTATTATAAAAAATAACTATAATTAAAAGGTGGCAAAAATTGAACTAGTTCTTTGAAAACATTATTAATGATCTAAAACAACTTCCCCTGCGCTATTCCTTATATTCCACATATGAGTGAAACCTTATGATAATTGTCTTTCTCTGCTTGACTTTGAAAAAAATTTCCTGCACAGGTTTGTCCATTCTCTCCAATTTGCTTATTAAATCAATGGTTTATATCAGAAAAAAAATAAAATACAATGACTCCCTTCCCCCTTAGTCCATCACTCTCTATTCTTTTACTCTGATGTATTTTTATAGCTTCATCACTGAAACTTTATTACATACTTTTCATTTTTTTTATTGTATGCCTTCCCAAGAATGACTTATATGAGTTGACTTTATTCATTCAGAACACAGCACCAAGCACATAGTATATTCAGTCCGTAGTGGTTGAATACATAAATGATCAAGGGAGAATTTACCCTGTTCTATTATAACATTGAACTATTTAAAAAATCGGAAGAAAAATCTTGGCTATTTCAAATATGTGGTTGTGTGTGATCATTGCAATCACAAATAAATGTCAACATCTTAGGAAGCTCTGGAGGTTTGCAACCAAGAGGAATTCACACATGCTTAGCTCATTCATACTCGTAGCACCTACACAAAGGATCCCATAAATACATCACATAGAGTTGAGCACTGTTAGACAAGTTTCCCAGAAATTCCTATAGTAGCATTTAAGATCTCTCTGAAATAATTCAACCTTCATATTCTTTGAAATAAGGTGGTAGCATTGAAAATCTCAGATCACAGATATATTACAACTCTCTGGATATTTTCATACAGATAAGGTGAATCAGATTATTTTACCCCCTTTTAGTGGTTCAAGAATACCACAAAATCCCCCAGTCATCTTTTACTCATAATAAGACAATATTAAAAGACATTCTAAAGAGAAAGGTTTTTTTCCCCCAAAATGTCATTATTCTAACACAAGTCATATTCAGGGTTTTTTAAAGTTCGTTTTAATTTTATTGCCAGTCTTGATCTCATTTTAGATAAGCATAGTCAGCATATAAATATAATTTTACAACCCATTTTGTCTCTTACTGTTATAAAGGTAACATTTTCCATGGAATTACATAATCATTATAACTTTGTGAAAATGGTGTATTATTACACTCTCAACTTTTTTCTGATTATTAGCTATTAAGCTATTTTTATTTTTCCCTGTTTTCCTACAGAACATTTTTGCTTTTGTACCATTCTTGGAATACATTTTCAAGAGTTAGATTATTGAAAGATTATGAACAGTTTTATGATCATGCATAAGGGTTTTCCACCAAAATTGTACAAATTCACAATGCTAGCAGCAAAGTGTGAGCACATCAGTACCTTCACAACTGCCCCAGCACTGGATATTGCACTTTTTAAATTTTGCTAAGTTATTGCATGTAAAACAATAATGCCTCATTGTTTTATCTTTATTGTCTGTCAAGAAACTGACAGAAATTCAAACTTGTCCAAAAATTTCATTTTTATTATTTTAGGACATATTTGGGAGAAGAGCAAGTGCCCAGAGGCAGAATGTGTCACGTGAATAGCAAAGAATAGGATGTCAACTCAGGAGAGTTGAGAATAGTACATTGGAGAGAAGGATAGTACGATAATGTTTGGGTTTTTATTATACGGTTATATTTTTAGTCAACCTTGGATTTCACAGTCATCTCACTTTATGCAAGGGAAATAAACATTCATACAAATTTCCAAGTCATTCTTATGGACAATTTAATGCTTAATATAAAATTGCTTAATATAAAGAAAGAACAAAAATAATCCTACCCTATTTACAGTTTCTGGATTCTTATCACTTGTTTCCTCGGGAATTTTAACAAGGAATTTAGAGGTGTCAGCCAACTTAGAGTGGGTTGGTAGTCTTCTGACAGTAGGGACAAATGTGAAGATCAGAGGTTTGGCTTCAGAATCACCAGAAGAGACCTAAGAGACATGTAATAAATTAGACTCTCAGTCTTGTTAGAGGTTTATCTTGATTTTATTTTCTAATTACCATGATATTTACTTCATTTATTTTGAGAAGTTGACTCTTATCCTGTGATCACGTGTATGGTTGCCAAAGAAAACAGCTGTAAAAATAGTGAGCATGGACCAGATTCCTTTTTTAAATTATTCCATTTATCAGAGAAAGTAATACAACCCAAGAAAGAGCCTATTGTAGGGGATGGCAGCAAAACAGTGGATTGGCTAGTTGATCACTTGGAATATTACAGGGCACCTGCACCTCCCCGTAGGGTCATCACAAACACAGCATCTATTCTGTTTCAAAATCAACTTTTATTCATTTAACCCTGGGTTAGCATGTTCAATCTGACTCATAATCACCAAGCATGCAAGAAACTTCCAACGTGTATCACTAATGAGGATACTAAAAAATGGATTTGAAATCGGAAGTTTTTTTTTTTTTTTTTTTGGCTATTAGAATACAAATGCCTGTCTTCAAGGATATCCTTTCTCTTTCATTCATGCTTTGTTCATTCAAGAATAACCGTGTTTAGTATTTGTGGTGGGGCAGGTACTCGGGAGCTAGGGATGCCATCATGAATAGGAAATGGTCAACAGACCATGCATGAGAAGAAAGAGTATGCACAGAATATGAAGGGAAAAGTGATGAGGGGTACCTGCATACCCACCCAGGGAAGCTCTGTAAAAGGCAACACCTGAAATGTAGGTCCCAGTGAAGAGAAAGATAAAGATATCCCAGGCTGAGAAAACCAGATGAATGAAAGCATGAAAGGGCAGCAGCAGTGGGGTGTGGATCAAGCTTAGATCCTGTCCTATGGACAACAGAGAACCATTAGAGCACCATAGATTGGGAAATGACGAAGTCACATTAGAATTTTAGGCAGGTAATTCTGGTTTTAAAAGACACATAGAGGGGTGCCTGGGTGGCTCAGTGGGTTAAAGCCTCTGCCTTCGGCTCGGGTCATGATCCCAGGGTCCTGAGATTGAGCCCCGCATCAGGCTCTCTGCTCAGCAGGGAGCCTGCTTCCTCCTCTCTCTCTCTGCCTGCCTCTCTGCCTACTTGTAATCTCTGCATGTCAAATAAATAAATAAAATCTTTTAAAAAATAATAAAAATAAATAAATAAAATTTTAAAAGACACATGGCTAGTGATAGGCAAAGAAAGTCAAGAGCAATATGTTGAGGACTATCTGAAAGGGAAAAAGAGAAGATGGTGCCCTAATCTCTCTTTCACAAAATTTTGAACGAGGAATAAGGAGGGTTGTCGGGAGTAATTAGTGAGGGAAGGAGAGTCAAAGAGCTGCCTGTGTTGGCATGTAATCGGATAGACTTGAACATGTAGGTAGACTGAGGGTACGGATCAGGAGAGAAGGAAAGCAAAACAGGGTCCTGGAGGAAGCAGGCAAAATAAGTTAAGGGAACATATGATCACATTTGAGTCTAGAGAAAATGAACTAAGATAGAGGAAAGCTCATGAATGTGGTGTACCGGGGAGCAGAAAGGTGATATAATCAACATTGATGATAAAATCAGCCCCATCTCGTCAGAGTAACACTGCCCCTCTGCCATCTGCATGCCTCAGTCTCAAGAAATATGATACACCCTGGCAAGACACTCACTGTCCTCTCCCTTTAAGCCATGAACCCCTCTATGCCTTGAAACCCTCAGATTTCACCTTGGCATTCCTTTTAAACCCAGCTATGTCAGCCCCTGTGGAAAAAACCCAGACCTCAGTCATCCCACAATCCCTTTGTGCTATACATACCCATTGTTCTTTTCCCATCTGTGGCCTGCTCCAACTCTTGAAGCCTTTCCACCACACACTTTCTGGTATCCAGTCGGCCACCACAAAATCCTCCATGTCCCAAACCTCTTCTCTAACTTCTCTAACTAGCTCTAACCAAACCATGGCTTTTTCTAAAGGGCTTTGTCTCTAAGAAGTTACCTCAGTGGAAACTGTTTTCTCTCACACTGGGCCTAGAACTACAAGCGTGTCCTCCTCACTTCCCTATACTCCTTCCAGACCATTCCTCTTTCCTTTTACCTAGAAACTTGCAGATTTGAATCTCCTGTCAGTAGTCTATACTCTTCACTGCCATCTCCCCACAACCAAAGGAAGCCCTTCTTTCTTTGAAGATTTAGTTCCTGGCTCAGTTCCACTCTTTTTAACATTATGCTTTGTGCAATACTCAACATCATAGCCCATAGGTAATTTTCCTCATCTTGTGTTGCCCTGGCCTCTACTCCTTCCTGATTTTCAAATCCCTAGCCTCAACCAGTACCTACAACCCCTCTATAATGTCACATTTTCCATTCTCTGGCTGCCACTTCTTTTCTTTCCATACCTCCTTCTCATACTCCAACTCCAACATTTCTTAGATCTCACCAGAATAAAAATCTACGGATCCCTCCAACATTATATTGTCCCATATTTCTTCTTTTTAGCCAACCTCAATGATTGCATTCACCACAGTTACCCCCATGCACACTCCTCAAATGCTTTCCCCTCTCTCACATCATCCCCTCCCAACTGGGTAAATCACCATTCTCACTAAATCTAACCTCCTATTCTACTCCTGCACAACAACAGTATGTGATTGGAGGAAATCACACAAACTATGCTTACTGGTTTCACTTCATATTTATGACTCAGCCCAAGCAGGCCTTTCAATGCTGCTCTATAAATATACACTAGCTATTTGGCCCATTTACTCTCCCACTTGCCTAGAAAACTCATATCCTCTCCAACATCTTCTTCCATGGTCTTACTCTGAGCTGATAAGTTTGTTTCTCATTTCACTGAGATAACTGAAGCAATCAGAAAAGAATTACCAAGGTTCCCATCACCACATCTACTCACCCACCCACATCTTTGTTCTCTCATGTGGCCTGAAATCCTGCCATTATGTCCCTAGTAAAATCAACTCTCACTTGAATATTTTGCTTTCTACTAACTTTTATTTATTCAACAAGGTGTCATTAAATGCCCACTAAATGCTAAGGCACCACTTTAAGTGTTGGCGATATAATGGTGAGCAAAAATCTTTATACTAATGGAATTTATATCGCAGAGGAGGAAGTAGTAAACAAAATAAATATGTAAAATATTTAGTACTTATATAGTTATAAGCTATGAAGCCTAGCTTTAAGGCTATTGCGATGACCTATGGTAGAGAAATGGTAGGTTGAACTTGGGTTGCTATGGTAACCATGATAAGAAGTGTTAAGATTCTGGCTGTATTTTAGTTATTTATTTTTTAAGGTTTTATTTATTTATTTTTGCAAGAGAGAAAGAACACGAAGGGGGAGGTGGGCAGAGGGAGAAGCAGACTCCCCCCTGAGCAGGGAACCTGATGCAGGACTCAATCATAACCTGAGCCAAAGGCAGATGCTTAACTGACTGAGCCACACAGGCACCCAAGATTCTGGCTCTATTTTAAAGGAAAACAGAATTTGCTTAAAAACTAAATGTGGGATATAAGAGATAGATAAGAATCAAGATGAGTACAAAATTATTGACCTAAATAACTCTAAGAAATGAGCTTTTATTTACTAAAATGGGGAAATCAACAGGTGAAGCTAGTCTGAGAATAAAGATCAAATTTGATATGCTAAATATAGATCCAAATGGAAATGTGGGAAGGAAGTCAAATTTAGAGGAGAGTCTGTGCTAAAGGTGAAATTATTAGGGTTGTTAACTTATACATTGTATTTGAAACCACGAGACCAGATGAGCTCACCAAGGGAGCAAGCACAAACAAGAAAAGAAGAGGTCCAAGGATGAACCCTCCTGACTTGTAACACAAGTGATCCAGTAGCAAAGGAAGAACTTGTAGAGGTGACATGTGATTTTAAGGAAAATAGAAAAGACTGGAATCTCACTAACATCAATAGGAAAGATGCGTGACTATCAACCAAAGGATTACCAGGCTCTGCTGAGGAGCCAGGAATTTGTTGCAGTGAAGCCAATTTACTTGGCCTTTTGATATTCCTTCCAGGGATATTCAAACAGCCTCTCACAGGAACAGAGAAAGTCAACTATAGCACTTACAGAGCTGGTGTTTGGAAACTGGAAAGGAAGTTGAGGAAATTGAGAGCCCTTGTGAGAGTAGAGCAAATGACCAAAATGGAGTGGAGTTTGGACAGATCCAAGAGAGGGGCCCTCAGATTCCAGGGACCAGCGGTGTCTGACACTCAGATAACAGATCTAATAGCATGTTGAGTATCTGGAAGGATGGCTTGGTTTACAGTACAGTATATGAAAATGTAAGATTTAGAGGTATGATAATTCTATGTGGTCTAGGCTTTGGCCTTGAGACTGACTATCTGGGAAGTAAAAAAAAAAAAAAAAAAAAAAAAAAAACAGAAAAGACACCAAGCTTATGAAGCTCAAGCAACTATGAAACAAGAAGGTTGACAAGGTCAGCCCAGGGAAAACAAAAGTCATGCTGGGTGACAGTAAGACTGGCCTGGAGAGAGAGACGGATAGCATGGGGGCACAATGTGAGCCTAGGGTCAGGAGGTACCTGGAACAAGCTGCCTGGGACGCTAGATTAGTAATGGGATATTTTCTTTGTGAGCATGCAATCAAACAAAGAGGACTGGATATCCGTACGGGAGATTTCACCCAAGTTATAGGTCCAATGAACTAAATGTAGGCCACTTACTATATAGTAAAAGTTATTGGTAACTAAAAAAATGAAAACAGCTATGCCTTCTAGAAATGATGCATATTCCTTAAGAAATATCAAACATACAGGTAAACCCTTCTGAGCTAACTCTCATTTTTTAATATTCTCTTTTTGGTAAGATTTTATTTATTTACGAGAAAGAGAGTGAGAGAAAGAGCAGGGGGAGGAGCAGAAGGAAAGGGACAAACAGACCCCGTGCTAAGCCCAATGCAGGACTCCATCTCAGGAACCTGAGATCATGACCTAAGCACAAACCAAGGGTCGGACACTTAACTGGCTGCAACCAGGTGCCCCTAATATTCTTTAATGCCTTTAAAGACAGTTGTCCTTATTTGCTTATTGCAGTCATGTCAAAATTCCCAGGTTGCTGCTAATCATGGGAAAGTAATAAATCAATGCTCTTTTTTGTGGTAAGAAACATTAGATCCCTTGTGAGATTTGGAAAGCCCTTTAGTCTTATCAGCAATAACAATGTAACACACTTATTGGACAGATTATTTCCTAGGAAGACCTTTTTACATGACTAATCTCATCAATATCAAGATAGAGAGTGGTTTTAGCAACAAAAGCACTAGAGGTAGTTCAGATAATTCATCACAGAATTTCTTGTGGGCAGGAGATAAAGACAGTCCTTTAGGAGTCAAAAGGTGAAATTGTGACCTTATCCCCAGGTTCTATAGGCCTGCTCCATCTCTCCCCATGATAATTACAAGTCTATCCTGGGTTCTATCCCAATGAAATTTAAATACTGATACATGAAAGCCTTCAGTATAAGTGCCCCAGGGGTCTGAAATACATATAACCATTATTAATAGGACATGGCTTTGCCTTCTAAAACACACAAAATACCGAAAATTTACTTATTCTATGACCTTGTGCAATTTGAATAATGCAATTCTACCTAAATCTCTAAAAAACAAATAGATCACCATCACTGACACCCAATAAACTACAGACTTTTTAAAGGGTAATAGCTATAATTTCAGTGACTAAAAGGGAAACAAAATATAAATGAAAACTGATGATTCAGTGCATAAGGTGCACTTTCTACCCAATGCCCTCAAAGGAATTTCAAAGCATAACCACATGTGGACAATGAAAGCAACAGAAAAGTAAAATTATTTCTTTCTACATTATTGTCATATTTTCCTACAGACACATCCATATCCGACAAAAAATGTCTTCCCCGGTGGAGGAGAACAATTTTTTTTTTTTTTAATTTTAGTTGAACCCATGCATGATGTCATTCAAGAATAACATAAAGGGGAAAATCTAATAGGACTAAAGACGTATTCATCTTCCTGGGTTACCGTTGGAGAAAAAGATCAGGGATGAATTCCTGTCTGAACACACATCCTCAGAAGCACCACCACAAAAGTGGTATCCACTTTTAAGCTGGGAGTACAGTGTTAGCACAGGGCTCTTTTCATCGTTACCTAGCATCCTCTTATCTAACCAAGGAGGTACTGATTTCTTTCTTTTTTTTCTTTTCTTTTTTTTTTTTTTTTTTTGGTACAGAATTCAGGTTGGAAAAGGATTTGAAATTATACTAGCTACACGATGCAACATTTAGATGAAGAGCTATGTGTTAGCCAGGGTAGACTGCTGAATCCCCTGTTCAGAAAAGAAGAAAAAAAAATTTTTTTTTCTCTCTTTACTGCATACGGTAGCCAAGTTCCAGTGGAGCCCAGAAATGAATCGCTATGGTGATGAAAAATCATTTTCCACACAAAGCAGAAACAGATGCATGTTAATATCATTGCACTTGTTAAATGCCGGTTTAACACTTTCAAGTTGTCAATGCCATTTAAAAACACATCTTAGTTCCTATCCTTGGGAAACTAGTTTAATAACTGAAACTAGACCTGAGAGGATGAACATCTCGCCCTCACTACGTTTTCAAGCACTCAGAACTGTCTGAGACTGGCCCCCTCTCACCGGACAGCCGAATAATAACTGAAGAAATGGCGTTTCCCCGTGCCATGCAAGTTCACTGCTCTGTTGCTCAGTTTCTGGGCTGCAATGCCTTCCCGTCTTCTATTCCCCTAAAAGTTCTCTTCCTTCCTGTGGTGACACCCACACTCACAGATGGCCACTAGCCTCCTGTTAAGAAGAGGCATGGCAGGGCGTCAGCTTCCACACTATGCCAAGGGCAGTCCCGAGCGTTTTGTGGGGTTGGCCAGCAAGCAGTTTGCTTTTATCTGCTCGTCCTGCCACTAACTGCAGATAATAACATTTCATTTTGATACACAGGCAAATTTATCTCTCCGCAGGCAGCTCTCCCTCAAGCCCTCTTGCAGCAAACACCGAAGTGCACAGCCTTTAAAAGTTCTTGAAAGCATTAAGGAAAGACTTCCCTTTACCTGGGGTGTGGTCTGAATGCTCCCTGCTAGGACGCCCGAGTTCATTTGGAAGTAATTGTTCCCGCAGTCCCTCGGAAACCCCTGTTCTGGAAGCATTGATTCATCACATAAGGGAGTGAGCAAACGGATGACTGAGGTGGGAAGGGAGCCTCTCACTAAAACAACACACACTCACACAGAAAAAAGGAATTCTAAAAAGAGGTAAAGTGGCATCCTCCCTGATTTGAAGAATCCTGTCAGCTCCCAAGAGTAGGTTTATGTGTAGATAATTTTTAGATTTGGAACTTCATGAGAGGTCATGTTGACTGCTGAAATGAAGCCAGGAGAAGTAAAAGAAAAAGAAAAAAAAAAAAAGAAAGAAAGAAAAAAAAACCCACCTATGCATGTTTGCCCTCTTTTCTTGTCACGCATATATTCCAATTACATATTCTATGCAAAGAGAGAAGCCAGATTGTACAGTGACGAGAAGCTGATTGAAAGGCCCGAGCATCTGCCAATCTCAGCAACCAGTTGGTCACACTCACTGAGAACACTGAGAGGTACAAACACATGCAAACACTGCGCCTAAATAAAGCCCTAGAAAACACACAGCGATCATTTCAAAAGATCAATAGCATTATCGGTCTTTGGCATGTAAATGCAGCAGGAACGTCTGTAGTGACTGAAGTTTTGCTATTAATCACTTTAGCTCTAGATTGAAGCTTGGAGTCAAATATTTGTTGAAACAAAATTCCCTTCTGAGGTTTCCTGGAAGACAGTGAGTGTCCTGACTGCAGACGAACCAACCTCAAAACCTCACATGTGAAACTGACTGGCGTCCTCAAGCTTTGGGGATTTCTACTTTTTTTAAGTATTGATTTTTCTCCAAATCTGTAATATCTAGATTTGTGCTTCGGCAAAGAAAGATGTTGTGGCCCAAGGGTTGGTTATAGACCAAAGGCTATGGGAAGGAATGAAGATTTTACTTTGGGGACCTGGATTATACCTCTTAACATTTTCAACTTTATCAAAAGCCAGAATTTGTGGAAACATTACAAGTAAAATAATGCTCAAAGTGATTCTACTAGCACACTGGCAAAAATTCTCCCAAACAACACAGCACTTTTTGACCTAGAAAATTCTCTAAATTTCTGAATAGAAGTGCTGTTACACCCCTAGGTAAATTATATGCCTTCCTCTAGGCTATGTATATTTATGCATACTCAAAAGAAAAGAAAATATAACATCTTTCTGCCCTCAGAGAGCTTACATTCCAATTGAGAACAGAAAACAGATTACAAATAACAGAAATGCAAAGCAAAAACCAAAAAAAAGAGAGAGAGAGAGAGAGACATTGAAGTTCTCAAACTTTATGCATAAACTATAAACTATCTGGAGAGCTTGAGGAAACCTGCCCTTAGATTCTCTCTCTTTTTTTTTTTTAAAGATGTTATTTACTCACTTGTCAGAGAGAGAGAGGGCCAAAGCAGGTGGAGTGGCAGGCAGAGGGAGAAGCAGGCTTCCCACTGAGCAATGAGCCCAACACAGGTCTCCATCCCAGGATGCTGGGATCATGACCTGAGCTGAAGGCAGACAACTAACTGACTGAGCCACCAAGGCGTCCCTGCCCTCAGATTCTGCATGTCCAGCAAGCTCCCTGCTCGTGCTGGCTGCTTGCCCATAGCACTTTGAGTAGCAAAGACCTGGGGGTTTCTTGGAGGGACGTGAGATCACAGCTACATGGAGAAATTCAAGGAGAAAGCAGCACTGGTGCTGCACTTCAAAGGATCGGGGACTGGGGGCTTAGGAAAGTGGGACAGAATAACACTGATTTCAAGCAGAGTTAAAGGCCTGAGTGAATGCACCTGTCCTAACAGCCGTAAGAAGAGTCATAAAAGGCGAAAACCTAGAGATGATCATTCACTGGGGACACAAGGGGACCTCCCAAAGACAATCCTTTCACTTGTGAAATGTGGATATGAATAGTACTTATCTCACAGGGTTCTTGCAAGGACTACTGTGAAATCATGTAACCCCTAGAGGTCACATTCATCTTACACAGTCCTAGTGAGTGGCTCCCTACGAGGAAGCAGCAGTCTGGTCAGCCGTCAATAGTTTGATCCCTTTGTTCCAAGTAGACTCTATGAAGCTCTTCTCCCATACCTCATTCTGTCCTCCCTCTGGTCTTTTCTCTCTCATTTCCTTCCCCAACCAAAGCAATATTTATGCATGTTGGCAAGTCAACTTTGGAAGGGGAAATACTTTAGCCCCTATCTTTTGCCCTATTTGAACTCTTCCTTGAGTCATTTTACAACATGAGAACCAATTGAATTAATCCATTATTTTGTTATTTGGCTCTGTGTCTTACTGGCAACTTTTCTCGAATCATTTTCTTTCCCTGGCTTTATTAATAATTGTTGGTGTTGCAGACTATTTGTTGTATTGATAGAAGTAATAATTGTTAGTTTAAAAAAAACATAATGGTCATGCATTATAACAGCATGCTTCAGCCATCTGGTTAGTAACTACATATAGCCTCAAAGAGCACATGTATTTAGGACAATTTCTATAGAAACCATCCTCATTTAAATAGAAAATGATGGCACCTGTTCAAAAACAGGCCCCAGTCCTGAATGATGAAAAGCAAGGAAGTTACTTACATAGGATAGAGAGGTGGGGAGGAAGAGTGTCTGTCCTCCAATTGCAAAGACTTTTCCTATCAGTAAGAACATCACCTAGGGTCTGCCCAAGACCCTGAAGCATTTAGAAACACAAACCATTTTTTCCACAGCTCGATGTAGGCATTTAGTCAGTTAGGCTAAGCCATCATGTAAACATACTTGTTTAGTTCTGCCTCTTTTTATATAAACACAAACTTTTTAATGCTCTCTCTCCCACCAAATAACACAAAATGCTCCGTTGAATAATCTTTTGCCAAGAGCAAATAAAATTTGTTAAACTTTGCAACAGACAAATACAATCCAAATTCTCTTTAAATTTTGGCATTATTGATGGCTGAAGTAGGACGTCTTTCACCTTCTTTCTAAATAGATATTACTGCAGTAACTTCTAGCCAAAAGACTCTTCAGATACTGCTTTTAAAATAAACAATAAAGAACAAATAGTCTCTCTTCTTGACATGGGAAGCAAATTTGAGAAAAAAAATAGATTAGCACACAAAAGTTTGCCAAGAAACATGTAATTAAACAGATCCAGCTGCCAAGACTATTCAATTACCCATTTGTCTGTTCCTATACCCTGTGCTTGATAACATAACGTACTAGAAATCCCATTTATTTATCTTCAGAAACATCTGTTGAGTACCAGGCACTACTCTAAGCTCTGAGAGACACAAAGACAAAGAAGATTTGGACTCTATTCCCAACATGCGTGACAGTTTCACGAAAGAGACACAAGTTACAAGGGTGGTGAGTGAAGTCAGAGGACAGTGTGAGGTGATGTGTGGAATACAGACCCCATGGGGAAGTGGTCTTGGGCCATTCCCAAGGAGACTGCACTCTTAGCTTCTGCATTCTTAGTTCCTGTTTCTGGTGACCAACACTGGGACACTTCTCATTATGATTTAGTTTCTGGTTGGTGTGTTCCCTCTGAAAATGGGACTCACCAAGAGTTTGGATCCCTGTCTCTAGGGCAATAGGTGATTGATTCATCTTGCAAGATTAGTATTCTAAAGAAGGGGCATTAGGCAACACTAATCCAGAATTTTATTTTATAAATAAATTGTCCCTGAGAAGTTAAGTGACTTACCCAAGACCTCACAGCTCTCTGCTGGAAAATCTGGAATCCGGAGCTATTTTGTCTGCTTCTGACCAAGACGACTGGAAATTCCATTGCTTTGAACATCCTGCTGTTCTTGCTACAAGTATTTGTATGGAAGAGTCATGGGGAGGGAGCTGACTGAAATTACCTCCATCTTGCTTCTTCCTTTAGCCCTTACACCTTCGGTTTTTAGTAAGGACCTGTGCATACCAGCAATAACTGTCCCATTTGGAACTGAGAATCTTGAGGAAATTGGGCTGATTCTGTTTTCTTCTGGACAATTAATTCCAAGTTTAACCAAAATTATTATCCTTTCCATCAGAAGAAAAGAAATATCCACAAATAAAGAGATCACTGTCAGTCAGTAAGTTTATTGGACAAATATTTATTGAGTGCTTATATGTGCCACATAGTGTTCTGGTGGCTAGGGAAATAATAATGATCAAAACAAAATCCTTGCTCTCAGAGTGTTTAAAATCCAATGATGACATCAGATAATAAACAAGCATTAGGGGCTGGTTACTGCTCTGGAGAAAAATAACATGGGCTGAGCGGGACAGAGAGTGCTAGCAAGAGTTTAGAATTGGGGTGGCAATTTTATGTAGGGTAGTGAGGAATTTTTTTTTAGTTGGAGTGACATTTGAGCAGAGACATGAGGAAGTGAAGGAACTCAAGAGCTTGGGAAAAACATTCTGGGAAGTGGGATTAGCATGCTCTAGGAATGTAGGAAAATCACTGTAAATAGAGCTAAGGGGAGCAATGGGGGAGAGTAGTAGGGGCCAGATCATGTTTGTTGTTGGCTATCGTAAGGATGTTGGCTTATCCTCTGGGTAACAAAGGAAGCCATTGAAGGGTATGGCATAGAAAAGTGGCATTTTCTGACTTCTGTTTTAAAGGCTCAATCTTGCTACTGTGTGGCAAATAACTATAGGGAGAGGAGATGACAGACCATGTTCCCAGGAAGTGGACTCTGAGGTAGAGTTAGCTTACAGGAAGTTTACCCCCATGGAAGTGCTCTAAGGAACACCTCCCGTGGAAACAGGAAAGCAGCAACATAATTGAGAGAGAGAATTGGGTTGCAATGCACACCCAACAAAAGCTTAACTGACCTCATGAGGAGCTCTGAATTTGGGATCGCTCTTTAGAGTTGCCCTAAATTGGAAGGAGAGTGCCAGGCCTTTATATATGGGTGTATCAAGTAGCCATTGGATGCAGGCAACCCCTGAGAAGGGGGAGAGGCTTTGGGCAAGGAGCTTCATTCAGTAGAGAGCAACTCATGAAGAGGACAGACAGCTGAGCACTGTTACAGCACTTCCAGCAGCTAGGGAATAGTCTTTGGCCTGAAGGGAGATATGGATTATTTATCAGACCATTCACTATAGAAGGCAACGAGGAAGCAGGAGATTAGTTAGGAGGAAGTGATTTGGAAAAGAGATGATGGTAGGTTCTGCTACTAGGAGGTTAGAAGTAGAGGTGGCAAGGTATAAACATTTTCTGGATTTATTTTGAAGGGAAGTAATACTGATAAATTGGTGAGGGGGATAGATAAATCAAGATTATTGGT